TTTATTTTGTCTTTATGACATAACAGATCTATGAGAGAGAATCTTTAATGTATTGACTGGCAGATTGGCAATAGGAAAATCAGCCTTCAACCATAAAATAATTTGCAAAGTCAGTCGTTTCAGTCAAACCAAAATGAAACAAAAGAAGCAAAAATTTTCCAAGTGGATGGGAGGAACTCCTACTTTTCATTCTGCTGCTTTGAAACTACGGGCACATGTTATACTATACATTTGAACTATACCTTTCATCCATGAATTAGGGAATGCCTTCTAGAAGAGATTGTATTTTTCTGATGCATGAAAAAGAGGTGGGGAAGTTGCTACAGATATAAGGATGAATGCAAAGTTGTAAAGACAAAAAAGGAAGTCAAAGGAAACAATAATCTGTGCTGTAACATTTACCTAATTGGGGTTCACTGAGAACAGAGGCAAGAAATCAAGAGTAAAAAGGTAAATGGAATATGGTTAAGAACTCTGGAGATGAGATTCTCCGTACTGTAGGCTGGACAGGGTCACGGCAGAGTTCTGAGGGGAGAGAGGTGGTCAGATTTTTTTCAATAATGAGTTAGTGTATTGAATAGCAGTGAATAAAGAAAAGCTTACTTTTTATATGGATAGCAGTGAATAAAGAAAAGCTTAATTTATCTTATGATCTCCTTTTCTAGCTTATTATCTAAAAAGTGCTACTTCTAAAGTTACAAGCTTTGCCAATTCTTTTTTTAAACAATTGTTGAAAACTTCATGATAAAAGAAATTTCCTTAAAATGGACTTATTATAGTTTAAGATCCAATTATTTAGATGGAAAAATCAAAGTAAAGACTTAGGAAAGAGAGTGTAAGAAAAACAGAACTTGAACTGACAGTAATTCTAGAAAAACTCATGAGGAGGAACCAAACAAGAGAGATTAAACGAAATTAGATCTCCCTGTGAAAAAGGTCTTTCTCTTTTAGCTAATAAAAGTAGACTTTTAAGCAAACATAGTTAAAACTTGAGCTTCCAGGGCTGAGCAGTGTGCCTTTACATCATCTTACATCCATTAACTTTATAAAATCTGGGAAAAGCCAGGCCAAAGAGGCAAATCATTTATACTCCACTAAACAGAAGGTGAATGAGCTAATGCCATCTCTGTCACTGAAAATAGATTCTGAGCTAACATTGTTTTGTTTTCCTCTCATCAACATCTTTTTATGAAAAAAAATAATAATAATAACTAAGAATATCATTTATTTTACATTTACAACAGTATTGGACTTGTTTCCTAGTTCAAACAGTGATTTTAAAATCTCAGAGAATTAGGATCTTTTCTACCCCACTGAAACAACCTACTTTGGAGGACTGTAGAAGCAAACCAACCTCAGTTTATTTTTTTGCCTTAAACAGGTCTCTGCTAATTCTTCTCTAATGATAAACACTACTGATGTTATACTAGACACCAGTGTCCTGACAATGTTTGCAGATTGATAAAAAGTGATCTACCAAATGCATCATCCTATAGAACACACCCTTTCAAAACTACACTTGTGAAAATTAGTTGTGATTCCATGATCAGGAGATCCACTGGATTTACAACAAACTAGGACAAATCTCCACATCTGCTTCATTTCGCTCACTGACACACATCCAACACTCAGCTTAGAGCATAACCTCATGGGCTATTGACTTAAGGACGGGGGCTTAGGAAACTGACAGCCATTTCAGTTCAAATATAACTAGCTTAACTGTCACGATACAGACCTTGTGAATTAAAAAAAAAAATAAGTATAATTTTAAAACCAGAAGGGTTCTTATTGTGCATCAGTTCAATAGATCAGGGTATTTGGGTGAAGCCTGGGGGAAAGCATATAAACTAAGAGTTGCCACTTCTATTTTCCTATTTGCCTTTATTCTTTGTTGCTTCCAAATACTTTGCAACCTGTGATTAGACTATTCTACCAGAGATGCCTTTTCATGTTACTTTCCTTCTCTCCCTACTCTTCCATGCAAAGAGTTAACAATAGTTTGTTCTCACTCTCCATACTAAAGGATGAGACTGCTTCGTCGTTGATCTTGAGAATCCAAATCTAACACTTGAGATCATGAATTCAAACTTCTACTCACACGCCACACCTTTACTCCAAGCTTCTCTCATTTAGCTGGTGTCACTGCTGCAGCATTCGCTATTTAAAAAAATTCCAGGTTCTTTATAGTTTACCTAGGGATGAATCCTCTTCTACACTTTCCTGTCATCCTTGAGCAGCCCATTAAAGTACTTTCTTGACTTGTTCTTCTGCATCCTTTTTTTTGTCTTTTATGGGGTCAACCTGAAAAAACTAAATCTGAATGTATCCATGTCTCTGCCTTCCCCACGTTTACTCCTGCAGAGGACATCGCTGTGGGTAGAGCTCATTCACCTCTTGTTTGCAATTCTATTCCCTTTTTTGGCCTTGTTATAGACAAGTTAAATGCTGAATTATAAACAAGTTATAGACAAGTGAAATGCTCAATTTCTTGGATCCTCTTTTATCTGCATTTTATAGGACATAATTCTGACAACATGGGCATGACAGGAAATTTATGCAAAATTCTTTGATATTTTTTGGTTTTTAATTAAAAATCTTGTTGCACCTCCTTTTATTCTTGTACCTTTAATGCAAGCGGGATGCCTAGAGTTATGTAGCCATCTCATTTAACTGTGAGTAAAAGGCCAAGGTTGTCACTGAGACACCTCTCTTTGCTGCGATGCTGAATGTCCCCAGGAGTTCCCACAAACAGAATTCTTAGTATATGTAGAAAAATAACTATTCTTTCTTTAAGTCACTCTAATTTAGCTTTTAGTTGACAGAAGAAGAAAACATCTTACTGAGATTTCTGGACTGCCGAACAAATTGTACTGCAAAGAGCTACCTGCTCAGCTTGTTGTCACAGTACATTTGTGGACACCACTAATTTTGCATGGGTGTTGAGAAACGCCAGCGACCCTCATCCTTTTGACCTCTTTTCAGTATATTTTTTCAGGCCCAGAGGGTTATTTTAAATCTCCTCTGTAATTATTCATGCTGGAAACTTGGCATCACTTCTTATTCTTTATTTCCCACAAACTTCACATGGATGTTATCAGCTCATCTTGACAGTTCTCCAGCCCCAATGTCTCAAGGTTCTAGATACTTTTCTCTGAATGATTTGATACTTTTCTAAAATCTAGGTCCTCATCATCTCTTGGATTACTCCAGCTGTGCCCTGCCTGGCATCCCGCCCAAGCTGCTTGGCACCACCTATCCATACAAAGTCATCGCCCTAAAGTACAACTTGATATTATCTCTCTTCCCTATTCTAAGCTTGTATGACTGGAAGGGCTGTTTCTTAAGAGCGATGATGACTTAAGTGCCCCTGCTAACTTCTCCAGGCTCGTCTCTGACTCTTCTTTGATCCTGATGACTGACTGCTCTCATTTCCCTAGATACCATTGAAGCATGCAACTGCACTATGATGCTTCTTTCCAGTCTTCAGAGAAGTAATTCATTTTTATAGTGCCTGGTAAATAAGTTAATCAGTCTTTTTATGTCCTTCCAACCACTAGCTTCTATGACCAGCATCTGGGGTCTTTTTTTTTTTTTTAAGGTTTTATTTATTTATACATACAGAACTGGGGTATGCAGGCCAGAGGTGCAGGGGCAGTGAGAGGATTCACCAGCAACAGAGTGGAGAGCAGAACAGGCAGACTGAGGAAGTACACTGCTGAGGGGAACAGCGGGTGGGCAGGTCAGGAGAGGTCTGCAGCGCCATGTGGATCACCTTCGGGCGGGCGGGAATAGAACTCGGCACTGAAGGGCCAGGCTTAGCTTCGTTAGCAGTGCAGGCGCCAACCTGCTGCACCACGGGGAGGGCTCACCTGGGGGGCGGGTCTTATACTCTCATGAATATGGACTCCTGGGCCCAGGGAGCACAGGTGTGTGCCTTTACACCTGGCCTAGAAGTGGTGAGGGATAAAGGGGCGCTGTGGCTCTGGGGACCTGAGATCATGAGAGGAGACCCGAAGAAACAGCACAAAGATTTGCGGGGAGCTGAGAGACTCAGTTGCCTGCCTGCTTCCCAGCCTTCCTGCCTGGTGCACCTGTGTACCCAGTTCCCTGACAATGTTAAAGACCCGTGAAACCCATCAAGGTCCCCAAGATTATACCCATCTGCCTGAGATAGGAACCAACCTGCCCAGATGGTTGCTCAATAGTGTGTTAATAGCTAATAGCTTCCCGAACCTTCCCCCTTGTCAGTCAGCTGACTCACTGACAGGCAGCTGACTCACCTTTCCAAGACCCTGGGCTGAGCCCCGACCCTCCTTCAGTCTTCTGTCTTCTAGACTCCCATAGGAATGCTCCTTAAATTTGGAAAAATGAATTTAAGAATTCTAGGTTAGATTTTTTTTTTCTGGTTAGAATTTTTTGACTCCAGAATTTGGAAACTTTATAAACAAGATGAAATGAAAAATATCTCCAATATCCTGGGCAACGTTAGATTGAAGATAATGTTCATGGTTATCTGATATCAAAGATAGCTATTCTTAGGAAAATAGGGTAGCTTTATATAAACCATGTTGTAACTGTTTTGTAAACAAATAACATTTTTTCTTTAGAAATATTTTATTATTTAAAATTATACTTTTGGACAATTTTTATATGTAATGCTCCATAGTAATATTCATTGTCCCTGTTTTGATTCCTTTCCCTCCCTTCCCCTGCAGAGTGTCTCTGGTTTATACTTGCCTTTTAGGTTTTTTTTTTTTTAATTTATTATGATTTTTTTTTTCCTGATCCCGTATGTCATTCCCCCTGTAAGTTCCTGTAAGTGAAACCATTTGATATCAGGGGACTATGGTGATGGTGTACAGGTGAATTGGTGGTGGGAATTATACAGGGGCGACCCTGAGAGAAGACAGCATACACTGTACAAAAAGAAAGAATGATGTAAAATTTATAGAGAATAAAAAAGTGAATTGCTAAAAAAAAAAAAAAAGATTCAAAGATTCATTGTCCCATGTAGAGATCATGCCTGATGGAAACATTTCAGCATTAGACAAACCACAGTAAAAGAGCAGAAGGAAATACCTGAACTTACTTAAAGATGGTCTGTCTCCCTCCCTACAACAAAAGAGCAGGAGGAAATACCTGCGCCTACTTAAAGATGATCTGTCTCCCTCCCCAGCCCACCTCCATTTTCCTAGTTTAAGTCATTGGAAGAGATTTTACCTGTCCACATTTATAGGTCCAAGTCTGCTCCTTTATTCTCCTATTTTCATGTTTAGGGACTTAGGATCAAAAGAGATTGGGAAATAAGAGATAATACACAATTTATCAAAAATACCAGCCTGAGTCACTTACAAAATGAGAAATGTCTAACCAAGCTGCAGTAAGAATAAATTGATAGAACATCATTTAAGCAGCAGGTTTGAAGCTTTGGAGACTGTGCTTTAATGTATTCAGCTGCATCCTATCATCTCCTGCTTGGGGCTCAGCCCTATGGTCTCCTCTATTATATTCTTCATTAAAATCTATCACTAAGACCTTGAAAAAGAGCACCCTTCCTATGCCTTTAAATGAATACATTAAATACATTTAATGATCCAAGGAAAGTGTTCAAGAATGTCTAGAATAGAATGAAATTAATCTTTCATTTATAGAGCGTTAGCCATTCTTCAAAGTATTTGTACCTTTCCACAGGTGTTGATTTATTGTGTGGGGGTTATAATACTAACAAGGCAATAAGTACTTATTGACTAGTATAAGCTCAGCACTGTTTTGGCATGCTAAACTATGCAAGTGAGACTCACAATATAGTGCCTGTCTTTGCAGAAAGAGAGGACTCACATGCCAGGACTAGAGAATGACACCCCCAGGCCCTATATATTTAAGTGCTAAATGACCCAGCTTTCCATATATTTAAAGGGCTGCTCTGAATTCATAGATGGGAGAAGGCATTGGGGGTGTCAGGGTAGAATCATAAACTTTTAGGGCTTGGAGCTAATCTAATTTGACTTCACAATTTTACAGATGAGTAAAATGAGACCTAAGAAGTGGAAGGAAGAGGAAAACAGAAAAAGACATACTAACTTTTATAGCCACATTCTTTCCATGAGCTCTTTCACTTAAACCTGGCGCCCATCTCTGAATTTGCTGCTGTTATGCCCATTTTCATAGGAAGTCCATGTGGTTGAGAGATTAACGTTGTGCGTGAGAATTTGCAAAGTTCAGGAATTCACACCCAGGTTGCCTGATTCTAAATCCTCTTTCCTAAAGAATGAAACTTTCTATGTCACCAGTAATATGCACGGTGTGTTCATATATGTTACTTTAATTTCAAATATATGTTACCTTAATTTGAAAATTACAGAATTAAGGAATACCTGCCTCCCTTCATTAAAAATCTCGCACTGTCCCATTCTTTGCTGGGTGGTATTATGCAAATTAGAAAGACCTAAAACACATCAGTTACTTGTAATTTTAATAGCAAGCCCTTACTACAGGTGGTCTTTCAGATGCTTTGCATACTCATTCATTTAATTAATTATCACAACAATATTGTAAAATATTAAATATTATAATAAAACTTAACTTTTTTTTTTTTGTTCTCAGACCCTTCTAGTAGGTATCTGCCTCTGGTTAGAGCACCCCTTAAAATAAGTCATCATATGCCCCAATTTGCCTCTTATGTCTGGTTGACTTGTCCATGACAACTGAGCTCACCAACATCCATAGTATCACCATCGGGACTGATGTCACCTATGTTAATGTCACCTATGTTAACATAAATTTACTCTTCTAGGAAATAGGGTGTAAATGCCTTCATTGTTTAGAAATTGCAATTTGGTGCATTACTATTGAGAATACAAAATGGTGCAGCCACTATGGCAAACAGTATGTCATTTCTCCAAAAGAGATTAACAGAATGACCTGATGACCCAGCAGTTCTACTTCTAGTATAAACCTAAAGGAATTTATCAGATAATTAAGGGGATTGTGTTCAGTGAAATAAGTCAGAAGGAAAACGAAAATATTGCATGGTTTTACTTATAGGAGGAAAATAGGAAAACCAACCAAGGGATTAAAAATAAATAAATAAAAAGACAAAACTTGCAGACAAACTATAGATCTAAGGCATTCAGCACAGGAATGTGAGGGAGATGTGTCAAAACAGGGGAGGAAAAAAGAGCTCAAGAGACTGGTTCCTGTTCACTGGAATGTGGTAGGTGGAAGATTTATGGGGACTCTCCTGAGGGGAGAAGCCAAATATTGTACACAAATAAACAACGGTGTAAGAAAAATAAATAAATAAGCCCGAAGGAATGTTAAAGCAGAGACTTGAACGGATCCTATATGCAACATTATTCACCATGGTTTGGAGGTGGAAAGAAGCTGTCTCCTCCAGTGGAGCCGGAGATAAACAAATGTCCTGTGTGCATATAATGGAACTTTATTCAACCTTAAAAAGGAATGGAATTCGGATACATGCTGCAACATTGATGAACCTTGAAAACACCATGCTAAGTGAAATAAACCAGATGCAAAAGGGAAAAAAAATAAAATTAGCTCCACTGTCGGATTCAGAAAATCCTTGAAAACCAATTTACTTGAATTACATAAGCTCTAGGTTAATTTACTTGGACTAAAGAGCTACAAATGGTCTCCTTCCCAGGATAATAGTTTCCTCACCAGGGTTAAAAGCTAATGATCAAATAACTGATAAAGACTTCAAGAGAGTTTTTATCAGGACTCCCTCCTGACAGGACCCTCGACTCACTGTGCCTCCCAGTTCTAAATTATCATATGATGAAATCACCTTATCTCCATCAGATCCTGCCACTAAAAGTTTCCCTGAAGCTGTCTGATCAATACTGAATGCCTACAGTTAGACTCTGTCCTCTCCAGACACACAGACCAGATGGTGTGGACTCTGCAGCGATGCGTAAACATAAAGTTGCCCAATCAGAGGTTCTTCTGAGAGTTACTTGAGAGTAAACAAAATCTGTAGACAGAGGCACTGTGGTCATCTAGCCATCTATACCCAGCAGACTCTTGTGTGGACAGGACTCGGACACCCACCAGAAGATAGATACTTCTTTACATCATTAATCTGTGTCTGAGCATGCATGCTGCCTCATGGCACCCCAAAAGAGGCTTGTGCAGAACTGGGAGAGGACCTTGCCTGCAATTCTGTCTGTGCTAGAAGTCTGAACTTCATGCTACAACATTTAAGAAATAGTGAGGTCACCTTCCCTAGATCTCATGAACCCTAGGACTCACCTGTTATTGCAAGATGGGTTTCCCTCTAACTTGACGTGGTAAGGAAAGGAGATGAAAGAAAATTCTATCCAAAAGTGCAGACTCACAGAAGTCAGCTGAAGCCCAAAGACAAATATGTTACATGCCAAACACTATTTGCCATGTTCTCTACTCTGTGGTGATGGAGATGAGGAAGCTTAGTTACTAAGGGCAATGTAAACTTTGTATCAGGGAGATGTGTGTAAAGGGGAAATGTTATTTAGAATCTACTACTACTTCCTATGAAACATGAAGTTTTAAAATGGGTGTATATATAGGCCCTCCCTGTTGGCGCAGTGGGTTAAAGCACAGCACTAAGAAGCTAAAGTCACTTCCAGATGAGTTCCATCCCCACCTGCCCCGGAGGTGAGCACATGGCGCGGCAGACCTCTGCTGACCGCCCGCTGCTCCCCTCAGCAGTGTACTTTGTCGATCTGCCTGTTGTGCTCCCCACTCTGTTCCTGGTGAATCCTC